AAAGCATTAGTGAATGTTCCACTTAATAATAATATAAACATTATTTTGAGCCAGTGTAGAATTCGTCAATTTAATAACTAACTGGCTGCTACAGGCATGTTTTTAAAGCTAGTCACATTTGATTGAGTATCAATGATGGCGGTTACTGAATGACTTCTACTAATGAAAATCTCTCCAACTTCAGAGCAAGCCGGAGAATGTAACTGCCTTGTGGTGTCTTGTGTTACAACCTCGAGCTATCAACTAAACGTGGAAAAAACATGAGTGCTGAACTCTTCAGTTGAGTAGACATGTGCACAGAATGAGTTGCAAGCACACATCTGGGCTGCTGGCTTCTTGTTTCTGACTCCCTGAGAGAAGCACAGCAGCTTCCCTGGTTCCCCCAGGCCTTCCTTCTGCCTCCTGCTCACTCAGTTGCAGTTATGTGGTGACTTGTGGGTTGAGCCCTTGGTGCAAGGCACGATGCTGGCGTGGTTAGTGGGCTGCCAAAAGAGTTAGCAGGCTGCAGCTGCCAAGCCTCACTGTGCAGTCCTGTTTTGCTTGCACTAAATCAGATCCCTTTTCTTTCCTTTGAGATGATTCATAGGTCATGTAGACTCACGTCTGAACTTAGCGAGACAAGCAAGATCTCTTGGGCAGTTTTCTAAAACATATACTTTTATTGCATAGTGGGTATTTCCAGCTTTGTTGCCAGTTACATAAAACATCACCTAATAATCTTACAGTCCATCATTCCAGAGACTCACATTAGCTGTTATTGGCAACATATTAGTAGTGGTTTCAATATTTGCGTTAGTCACTGAAGTTAGCCACATGCTATAGTTTGGATGCTGAATGTCCCTCAGAGGCCCATTTAGGCTTGGTCCCTAGAATGGCACTATTGGGAGGCAGTGGAACTTTGGAGAGATAGAACCTTTCAGGAGGTCCTTAGGTCATTGAGAACATGTTTTCACAAAGGGACCCTACTGGGCCCTTGCAGCCAGGGGAATCGAGTTAGTTGTTCAACGTTGTTCTCACCATGAATGTCCTGCCTCAAAGGCTCTAAGCATTGGAACCAATCTGTTAATTAGCTGATCACCAAAATTATGAGCAAGACTAAGCCCTTTCTCTTAACTAATTAACAATCTCAGTTGGTTGTAGCCACAGAAATCAGACTAACACACCAAGAAATACATCTTTCTTTATACAACAAAAGCAAATGATTCTACAGCAAGCAGTTATAGTATTAAAAGTATCCAGAATATAGTTATTGGCCAAAATACTAGAACATTTTTGAGACTGTGAGGGAAACCTCAGGAAATCTTATGTTCTGATTAAATCACCTTCCTGATCTTCCCAAAACTTAAGAGACTGGCCAGACTGCCTTCTTTCCCTTGTAGATTGCCCAGTGTTTATAATCTGCTCTCACGGGTTTTCTTTCCCCCACATGGAAAGCTGATGTGTCTGAGAAAGGCTTTATGCTTCTCCTTCCAGATACTATCGTGCAGTCTTGTTGATATGGGTTACTGATTAGCCAGGAGGCTTGGATTGTGTAGGCTTGTGATAATGCCTTTGCTTCTGCTGAGTTAGGTATGGACTTTGGTCTGTTTGACTGGCAGGACGCACGGGAAGAAAGGTCACAGAGCATTGGCTAACCTGAAAAGTGAATGCCAAGAAAACTGCACTCCGAACGTTTATAGTCTGTGTGCATGAGACAGGGATGCTGTGGCCAGTTTGGTACCACGTGAAAAGGACAAGGCAAACCATAAAGATGAAGGCCTGGGGACTGGACCTAGGGACCTCACACAGGCTAGACAAGTGCTCTGCCGTCCTTAGACACCCATCCCATAAAATTGTTCTTTAAATTTGGCAAATAGCTCTTGCCCCTACTTGATTCAAAGAAATCATTATGTACTAGCCGGAGTAGCATTTATATCTGCTTCTCTTTATTGGTTTCTCTACCCTAAAGAACTGTACTGTGTGGGCCTCACTGGATAGCAGGATTTATAACAATGTTTTTCATTTATTAGTGGTCTAAAGGATGAGATTGTTCCTTCAGTTATTCTGGCTTGTATCATTTTAGAAACTAGAAATTTGTCGGCTGTGGTGGTGCACGCCTTTAATCTCAGCACTTGGGAGGCAGAGGCAGGCGGATCTCTGTGAGTTCGAGGCCAGTACGGATTTCTAGGACAGCCAAGACAGTTACACAGAGAAACTAGAAATTCAATACGAAGTTATTAGCAGAAAAACTCTCTCATCACATAATTTTATTAGAGTTTATATTTGAAGTATATGTTTTTTATGTTCTATTTATCATGCAAGTGTGTACTGTTTTCATAGGAATGTCCATGTCATTCTGTTGGGTCTAGAACAATGCAGGATAGTGAAGAAATGCTTCCCACTCCGTGGAGCTCAGTGTCAAGGGCTGCCGTGGTGCAAGGCAGGTTCCCTCCCTCAGCACTGGGACTGCTCTCCTGCACCACCCCACCCCACCCCCGATCTTGTTCCACAAATAGAATGTTCTAGAGGGAAGTACAGGCAGTAGAGAAAGCACCTGCCATCAACATCTTTAAGTGTGGCTTTCCTCCCTTGCTGCAGTGAACTCAAGACAAAGGGAACTCATTGGTTCCCTGACTATATAGGTATGTTTTGTTTCAAGACTGGAATTTTTTTTTTTCAGATTTATTTATTGATCACGTATATAGTATGCCTGTACACCAGAAGAGGGCACCTGATCTCATTACAGATGGTTGTGAGCCACCATGTGGTTGCTGGGAATTGAACTCAGGACCTCTGGAAGAGCAGCCAGTGCTCTTAACCCCTGAGCCATCTCTCCAGCCCCCTGGAATTTTTTTTTTTACATAATATTTTTATTGATTGTTTGAGAATTTCACATCATGCACCCCAATCACATCCTCCTCCCAGACCTGCCCCTCCACACCCTTATGGCCTTCCCCCCCTCAAAAAAAAAAAAAGGAGAAAAGGGGAGTCCAATTTGTGTTGCCCATGTACTCACTGGAGCATGGTCAAACTCCCAGTGGCCAGCCCTTAAAAAAAACTGAGTCCTTCCCCTTCAGAAGCCATCGGTTGTGAAGAGCTCTACTTTAGCATCCTTATCGCAATTTTTAAGAGTTCTCTTTGATGGCTTTCTATCTAGACTATTCCTTTTTGGGGGGGTGGGGAGGTAAGATGGGGGTAGGGTTGTCACAGAAGCTTTCTATGTCCCTCTTTTTCAAATGTAAGTCAAGACCTGAATTTTATCCCCTTTTGTAAAACTTCTCTTAGAAATACAAATTTATATTTTAAAAAAACATACAAAAATGTATCTTTTCCACTTTCCCTTTCCATTCATGGAGAGTATCAGATCTCTTGACAAGTTTTGTTTTGTTTTTGAGTGGAACCTCAGGATCAAGCCCACAGCCTCGAGCAGGCTAAACATATGTTCTACTATTCAACTTCAGCAGCAACCTAGAATTTAAATGTACTGAGCCTGGGAAAATGGCTGGGTGCTAAGAGCATTGGTTCTGTGTGCATGAGAACCCGAATTCCCACAGCATACACACAAGTGCTGGATATGGCTGAGCATGCCGATAACCCCAACTTTGGGAGGCAGAGAAAGACAGATTCCAAGAGTTTGCAGAGCAGCCAGACCAGCCTAAAAGCAAGCTTCTGGTTCAGAAAGAACATGTCTCAACATAGTAGAGCAAGATACACATGGGCATGCACAGCATCTCACACACACACACACACACACACACACACACACACACACACACAGGCAGTGACAAAGCCCGGAGTTCAGAGGTTATGGAGAAAATGGGTTAGAAGCAAATAAAAATTTCCTTAGTGACACAGGAATAAAGGTGAAACCTCATGGAGCGACACTACAGTATCACACATTATTAAGTGCAGAGGGTGCAGTGATAGGATTTTTGCCTTTGAAAGGGAATGCAGTTTGCTTGAGGAAGTGGAAGTGGACATTGTTGGAAGGGCTTCAGCATATAAGTTACTGGCAAGTGTTAGGGCAGTTGTCTGGAATGAATATGAAGTTGTATTATTAGGTATGGTGTGTTTCATAAATACCCAGTGAAGTAAAAGCAACTGGTGGGTATTGGAGATGTGTGCAGGTGTATGTCTTATCAGTTTGGTGGGCTGTGTCCTCTGGATGCAGTTTTCTGCATTCATAGGGTTTTTCCGCAGATTAAAAAATAATATGTAAGCAAACACAAGATCTGTGCTGTGCTCAGTTCGTTCTCTAATGTATGAACCAACTTAGAAGACATTCCAAACACAGATTGCAGCAGAACCAAGGATATTCTTGATCTGATTTTGAGCCTTTGGAAATAAAGTGAAGACCAGAATAAACCTGGTGACTATGGGAAAGACTATGGCAAATGCAGTGTGAATGTGTGGTCTGCAGAGAAGCAGGAGACAAATTTGGTAGAACTGAAGGAGGGACTGGAACCACTGTCTTCTCTGCCTCTCTGTGATCGGAGTCAGTTACCGCTCCTTTGTACCAAAGACGGTGCTCACGGCCAAGTGGTCATCTGTTAAAGAATTCTCTATGTTACCAGAGGGAGGATAAGAGAGAGTGGGGCTGGTGAGTCTGACCAGAATGTAATATATACGTGGGAAGCTAAATCGATTACAATGTATCTCTTTGCTTTTAGTTTTATGGGAATTTAGTGTGCTGATGTCCCTGTGGTTTTTGTCTCAGAAATGTGCCAAAGTTGGGCCCTAATTAAAGGAGACTGGTAGAAGCTCATTCTTTCTCTTGTGGCTCACCTGTGAAATAAAAGATATAGTGGTAACTGGTCGATGGGACTTTGTTTATGAAATATTGAGGAAATTGGGCTGAAGTCTTAGACCAAATGAGGGTGTAGACTTTGAGCTGCACTCACACAGCATAATCGAAGTAAGCTGAGTTTAAAAATGGGTGCTTTGCTACTAAAATATAAGAAAAATGTTTATGATTGTAGAAGTATCACATATAATTCTTTTTTTTTTCTTTATTCTTTCAGCCACAATGAAAGGAAAGTGACCTGCAAGCATCCAGTCACAGGACAGCCATCCCAGGATAATTGTATCTTTGTTGTGAATGATCAGTAAGTGAAGAGTTTCATGGAATGCCTGTACTCAGAGTGGGATTGCATGGGATTGCTGTAACCCATGATAATACAATGCAGTTAAACAGTTTTCTCTATCTGGACATATGTGGTCAAATATAACAGTGTCAACTTACTATCGCAGAGAGACATGATCTAATTTTTTTCCGGAGGAATGTAATTTTAGAAGCTCTTTCCGTGAGAACTTAAATTCTTGCTCTCAGCTCTAGAGCTCAGGATTCTAGGCTAAAGAAATCTACATACTTCATCTATTCAACTGATTTGAGCTGTTCTCTCACCTTCAGTTTGGGGCTGTGGTAATTAGCCATTTTCAATACATTTTTATTTGTTTGTTGCCACGTCACCACCACTATTCCCTACCATGATGTGCCATAAAACTGTGGAGCTATTAGTTATTTCTAGCATCAGAATAATTAACATTGTAATTTGTGGGTGTGCGCTCAAGTGTGTGTTTGTACATGCACATGCATTTGCATATAGTTGAGTCCAGGACCTTGTGCATGCCAGTCACATGGATCAAACCCTTGTAATTGATTTTTAATTTTTCAGTTGGATGACCAAGAATATCTGCAATAATACTTATTTAACTATGGTACTAACTTATGTTGGGCTAGAAGTAGAAGTGTTGGTTGTATTTAAAGTGGTGATAAATTGTTTAAAAGAGGGCCACCTTTATAACCTAGGGAACCATTGCTGTGAAGCAGTCACAGACAGCAGGCTGTAGCATTGGTATTTTTTCAGGACTGTTGCAGCCATGACATCCGAAGAAAAGAAGGAGCGACCCATAAGTGTGATAAATGAAGCTTCCAATTACAACATGGCTTCAGACTATACAGTGCATCCCATGAGCCCTGTGGGCAGAGTAAGTTATTCTGCTTATTGTTAATTAGTTATAAGTATTAGTTTGTATCTATTGCTGTTACTCATTGTAACAGACTTAAAATTGGAATTAGAGAATGATAATTACATTTTTGTTATTGCATGGTACTAATTATACTAGTAGTAATTTGTAGCTGTAAGTTTTCTCTGGTCCCGCCTGGCTCCCGTAGCCCCTCAGACCAAAATAAACACACAAAAGGCTTATATTATTTTTAAACTATGGCCATGGCAGGCTTCTTGCTAGCTAGCTCTTATATCTTAAATTAACCCATTTCTATAAATCTATACTTTGCCTCGTGGCTTGTGGCTTACCAATATCTTTACTTCTTGCTTCTCCTGGCAATGGCTAGCAGCGTCTCCTCTGCTTTCCTTTCTTCTCTCTTATCTCTCTAGTTAGAATGTCCCACCTAACCTTATTCTGCCTCACCATTGGCCAAACACCTTTATTTATCAAACAATCAGAGCAACACATTTTCACAGCATATAGAATGACATCCACAGCACTTCGATGTAGTTGAAGACTAGATAGTTATAATTTTCCTTGGTTATGATAAAAGACAAATTAGATATGAAACCTTAGACTCACAAATATAGGATAAATAGAATATTTTCTTTAATTTTGCCAAATACAAATAGAATAGATATTGTAACTGTAATTCTTGCTTGATAACTGTTCTAATATATGTAATTTTACTATGTTAAAGTTAAAACCTTCCTTTTTGATTAGACAGAAAGGAGGAGGTGCTATGGGATGTTCTATATGCTATGAATATGTGTTGCTCTGATTGGTTGATAAATAAAATGCTGATTAGCCAGTAGGCAGGCAGGAAGTATAGGCGGGACAAGCAGAGAGGAGAATTCTGGGAACAGGAGGGCTGAGTCAGGAATCGCCAGCCAGACACAGAGGAAGCAAGATGACAAGGCAGAACTGAGAAAAGGTACCAAGCCACATGGCTAAACAAAAATAAGAATTATGGGTTAATTTAAGTGTAAGAACTAGTCAGTAATGAGCCTGTGCTAATGGCCGAGCAGTTATAAGTAATAATAAGCTTCTGAGTGATTATTTTATAAGCCACAGTGGAACTGCCAGGCCAGAGGAATGCATGGCCTGGAGGGACCAGGCAAGACAGAAAAACTTTCAGCTACAGTAATTGACAGGGTGGTGGGGGTGCACGCCTTTAATCCCAGCACTCGGGAGGCAGAGGCAGGCGGATCTCTGTGAGTTCAAGGCCAGCCTGGACTACAGAGTGAGTTCCAGGACAGACTCCAAAGCTACACGGAGAAACCCTGTCTCAAAAAAACAACAACAAAACAAGAATAGCTACAAATATAAATTAATAAAATTTTAAAGACCTACATTTCTTTTAGATACTGAGCAGAGATAAAGGGAAAATTAATGTAGTAGCCTAGAAATCACATTTCTTTGTATATAATTTTTATACTTGAAATAAACCAGCAAAGCTGGAATTGCAATTTTTCCTCCAAACATCAGAGAAATCTGGAAAAAATTAAAATGGAGAAAAATCTTAAAGCTTCAATCCTTAATACTACATGTTTTTGAACTATGAACCAAAGGCTGAGGGGCCCCCAGCTAGATCAGGCCCTCTGAATAGGTGAGATAGTTGATTGACTTGATCAGTTTGGGAGGCAACTAGGCAGTGGGACCAAGTCCTGTGCTCATTGCATGAGTTGGCTGTTTGAAACCTGGAGCTTATGCAG